CTGGAGTAGGCGGTGGGGTGGGAGACGGTGAAGTAAATGTGAACGGGGGTGGGGGTTGAGAACTGTTCTCTCTGGTTTGGGCACCGCCACCTCCGTGGTGGTCCACGGGCCACGGCGTGTGGTGTGTGATCTTCTCAGCCTCGGCCTGGGGCCTGAGGCAGCAGGAGCTGGTGAACCAGTATCCTTCCTCTGTATAGCATTTACTGGATGCTCGCATGTGTAACTGCCTTACCGTAAGGCTGTCTCTATCAAAATATGATTTTTTGGTTGCTTGGCCGAGAATGTGGGTTTCATTCCTAAACAGTCACAGTGCATCTCCTGGGGCCCTTTCCCCATGTAATCCAAGCGATGCCGAAGTGAGCACGTGTGTTTGAGGGGGTAAAGCAGTGCTTCCCATCCTTTTGCAGTTATGGATCAATAAAGCTTTCCACTGGCAGTACATATCTCTTGGGAATACCTCAAACGTGGCATTTATTATTTGCTTTTCTTAGTGACGTTTTGCAGGTTGCTGGGAAGAGATTCACAGACAACCCCCAGAGGCTCACTGACTGAAAATCACTGAAATAAAAGAAAGAGTGGGAAGTGAAAACAGAAAAGGGAAACCAAAGGGAACAGGACAAAACTTTAAATGGTTGGAGGATCAAAACTTGAAAGTTAGGATTTACAAAGGACCTAAAAACACCAGAAAGAGGCGGGGGGTGGGGGTGGGGGGGAGAATAGTTGCTTGGTTCTGCCTTTGTTGCATTTACTATTTAGATCTATAAAAACAAGTGTTAGGTTCCTCAGTGCATGCCGTGTTTGATGAAAGCTAAACGAGATTGCCAGTGATGAACTGGTCAGCTTAATTGCTTGCTAACCCAGGGACATGCAGATGAAACTTCATGATAGCTAAAGCTTTCTGTTACTTTGTTTCTTTTTTCCTCTACCTCTGTGGTGGTATACAGAATTTAAGAGGCACTCGGCAGTCATAACATGAAAACAAACCGAACTCCTCCAACTACTACTGCATTCAATTTCTTTCAAAACAGTGAAAGTAACTCAAAATAGTAAAAGGAATGAAAGACAAACTACATAGTATATGCTTTTCACTACCACTAGCCGATATGAATATTTTCTTCTTTCATGAATATTATCCATGGAAAGGAAGGTGGAAGGAGGGATATGGAGGAGTTTTAATATGATACTGATTTTTATTTTGTTTTGAGTCTCAAAAATCACTTTACAAGTCATGTGTGCCCTGTTTGCGTATAATGCTAGATGCAAATAGGCATTAACTGGATTAATGTCTATTAAATTTAACAATACAGTGAACATCAGGAATGAATTAATCTGAACCCCTTTGGTAACCAGCACAGCTACTTAAATGATGTCCTTTGGTGCATACAAATATTTGTATGCTATATGCAGAAGGGGTGGGGAGCTGAGTGCTTTTTCACAAAGGAAGTTCTGTTCTCAGTAACATGATTCCAGTTACTCCTGGCCAAAGCAGTAATGCCTACAGCAATTGTGACAAAGGGAAAGTATTTTTAATTTGATGGGGTTAGATCCCTTTTGTCTCATCAGTGCTATGCAAGTATAAAGGAAGGTGAGGGGGGAAGGTTTGGATGCTGGCAGTTTGAATTTATGATGTGTGAAAATGCCTGGTGTGAGAGTGGTATGTGAGACATTAAAGTGTAATATTTTTAACTTTTGGAGCAAGGGGAACAAAACCTATGTTGTGATAGAAAATATGGAAGAGAAATTCCTGACATTTTTTTAAACATGAAGTTGATGCACTGAACATCATTCTGTAGAAAGCAAGAGACGCCCAAATAACTTGTCCGCCTTTTTCTGTTCTAAAATCAGCATTTCATTTATTTGATTATATGACTTGACACTTGATTTCTTTTCTGTTGAAGTTCATCCTCACAGGTAAACCTCACTGCTGGTGGAAGAAACAAGCTACTCCATAAACAGCAAAATTTGTTTAACCTGTTTTTTTATGACTGGTGACCTGTATCCCCCCTCACTCCACCGCCTTTCCCTTGCAGCACTGATCTCCCAACTCATTCTTTCCTTTAAAGACTCAGGTTCAGTTTCAGTATCTCTGAAGATACTTTGGGTTTTGGGTATGCTTGTTCATGTGTTGGTCTGCATGTAGTGTTTGATTAGCAGTGAAACCAGCAGAAATGATAACTGTTGAGTTCCTATTGTAGCATTTCCCTTATCAGGGTGACTTAATATGCGTGTCTCATTTGAATCCAGGTGCTGATTTTTGAAAATGGTAAGAATTCAGTTGTACGAGACCTTTAACTGACTGTTAAACTTGACTGTAATAGGCTATTGTTCTCCAAAAGTAGTTAAGAGGAGACTGGCAAAGACCACAATTGCACAACTCATATTTTATTTGGAAAATGGGCAGAAAGAGGTACATTTTATATAAGCACTTGGTACCATGTACTGAAGAGTGATTCATGTGTCTTAAACTTATTGTTGGCAATTAAAAAATGCATCTCTCTAACCAAGACTGATTAAAAAAATATTTCTTGCAAGTTAATCATGGGTCAATACTAAACTTTCACGAGTGTAGCTATGAAAATTTCCATTTGTTCAAATATCTTTTATTTATAATCAATGCAACTCTGCAAGCAGATGTATTTAGATTAGATGCAGGTAATGTGTCAACGTTAAGCTTTGGTCAGTTTACCTTGTTTTGCTACTTTAACCTGAAATAAAGGCATTAAAATTTAAAGCTTTCTTAAATTCAGATTCCTCATAATATCTCTTTAACAGCTCCTTTGCAGTTTTGGTGGGGTTTGCCCCTAAAATGTTTATGTACCTCTACTCTGAAGTGAACTCCTGGGATTTGGGTGTTTCATTTCACTACTATATCAGAATGAAATTTATTTGAAATAATCAGTAAGATTTAATGGTACAGTGATAGCACAAACCTTACTGGAAAACTTTTATTTTATTTTTTTTTAAAAAATACATTCAATGTTTTCTAATCCTTAATTGCCTGTTGCTTGCCTCCAGCTTGAATCATGCAACTTGTGGATCAGCCACTAAATAAACCTCACTGCAGGAATAGACCTTAACTTTCTTCCTTTTGCAGAATTAACATTTGTCTTTCTAAAGTTCACTGCTGATGACGCTGTCCCAAAATGCAGTTCTTCACTAGGCTGCTGTGCTTTCATTTTCCCCAGTTAGGTGTGAGAAACTTATAAGTAATTATTTGTAATGAACAAATCAGTAGACTAAGTATTTACAAAGGACATTAAAAGTAAATTATTATATCTTTGTATTCTACTCTTCATTTCACCCTATTTACCTCCACGTTTTTCATTTTCTCAAGACATTCTTTCTAACCTGTTTGGTCTGAAGGGATGTGTTTTTAGGTGCCCCAAGTCCTTTCATCTCCTTGGTATTTGGTTTTGCTCACACTTGGTGCCTTACAGCTTTGGGTCTTTTCAGTCAGAGGTCCTGAGTGGTGTGACCTCTCTGTTTTCCTTGCGAATATTTCACAGTAATGCCTGGATGCTTTCTGCTGACATTCCAAATGATTCCTTGACTGAAAGCCTGGTGATCAAGTTCTAGATGTCACAGATTGATTCACTGTATGACAAATTGTCAGTTTCCTTTTGTGATGTTTTTCCTTAGTAATGCTTCTGTTTCTCTGTTGGTGCTATTGTAGCAAAAACACACTCAGGAATATGGAAAGATCTTCAAGTCTCACTTTGGTCCCCAGTTTGTTGTATCCATTGCAGATCGAGATATGGTTGCTCAAGTCCTCCGAGCAGAAGGTAGAGCACCACAAAGAGCTAACATGGAATCCTGGCAGGAGTACAGAGACTTGCGAGGGAGAGCTACGGGACTTATTTCTGCGTAAGTGTTGCTTCTCCTTCATTTTCTTTGTTTTCTTGTTAAAGTTTAGTGATTTTCTGAAGGACTGTATGGGTCATATGGGAATTCAGGCTTTTCTTTGTGGGGATATTTGTGTATCTAGTGGAGGGAAGAGGGTAAGAATTTATAGTGAATTGTCTGTTCTGCTGTAAATTTTCAAAGAGATGGTAATGTGTAGTTTGAATCTGGAGTAAGCTACCTTGCATAAAAGCATTCTTCAGGAATGTGCATCAGCTAGAGCTGTCTGAGCTGACTCACTTGCAAGCAGTATTGCAGAACAGAGCTTTATTAACTTTGGCACAGCACTGCACAAATGCGGTTTTATTGCTTCTAGACTGTTGTATCCAGTTGTCAAGTGTGCTCTGTGAACTTCTTGGCTCAGGTTGGCTTCAGCTTTATTGTTCATCAAAGTGCCCCTTCAGCAGATCAATCCAGAGGAGTCACTATGTGGTAAATTCACGCTGTAGAGTGTCCCCATGCAGATACTTTTGTACATGACTGATTCTAGAATTTTTCTGTCTGTAAAGCTTACATAAACTGGCAGTGCATGTGGGTGTGGTTAATTGCCACTGGGAACTACTCACCATCCCCACTGACTTAGGATGTTTGTTCAGAGGGAAACTAATTTCCGGAGTCATGACAGCCTGTTTCTTTACTGGTGGCAAAAGGCATTATGTTTTGCACTGCAGACTCAAATCTTCAGTGCAGTTCAGAGTCAAACTAATGGTTCCTTGATATTTTGTTAAATGAGATCTTAAATCAAGAGAGTCAGAAAATGTCTGTTAGAGATGAAATTATTTTGCTGGTCACTAAGTACCTTGCAGCAGCGTTGCCTCAGGTGAAAAAAAAGGGGGGGGGGAGGGGAAGGGGAATACATGGCAATTTAAAATAAATGCATAAAAGGCAATTGCCTGTCTTCATAGAAAGGTATCTCTGGAACCACTGTTCCCAGATACTCTGCTTATACAAAGCATGCAAATGCTGCAATTCAGATTTTTAGTCTTCACCACAAAGATTTCAATACATAGCTAAAGGAGAATAGTTGTAAATTGTTTCCTTATAGCTAGGTTTGCTGTCCTATTACTTTGTAGGTTTACAGTTAGGGTAACTGAAAGCGATATATCAGTAATGGAATGTATGGTACTAGCTCAGATCTTTTGCCAAATGAGATACATGTCTTTGGTAATTAAGCACCAATTCTAGGTAAAAACTGAAACCAGAGATTGACTTATACATGTATATACATGTTTCAACACTGAAATTTAATGAGGATATACAATAAATACAGCATAAAACTGTAGGAGCATAATACCACATACACATTCTCATACTTTTCATTTCATCACTTGTTTTCATTTGACATGGAAATTCCTAAATGGTTTCGTTGAGGAGCTCTTACCCAGCTGATGATTGTCAAGGAAAATTGTGTATAGACATTATTAATAATTTCTTCTAGGGAAGGGGAACAATGGCTAAAAATGAGAAGTGTACTGAGGCAAAAAATTCTGAAACCCAAAGATGTGGCTGTTTACTCTGAGGGAGTCAATGAAGTAATCACAGACTTAATTAAAAGAATCCACACCCTCAGAAGTCAAGAGGACGATGGGCAAACAGTGACCAATGTTAACAACCTTTTCTTCAAGTATTCAATGGAAGGTAAGCCCAGGCTGTATAACATCTGTAAAGAAAATGGATGTAAAGCAGTGTGCTTATGGTTAAGCATTTTTAGCAAATGACTAGTGCCCTGTTGTGATTAATCTGAAAAGGGAAGCTTGATACTCTGCTTTCAGATGTCTGTCTACTTAGTACAGCAGGTATCAGTAAAATTCCTTTGCAGACTCCAAAGAGATGATACCTTGTATTAAGGGGTAATTCCTGTGGAAATGCTGGCATATAGGTAAAATGTGCAATCAAGGCCCTGAGCAATTTCAGTGCTCTATTTCTGTATTAGTTTCTCAAGAATAAGGGTGCTAACTTTGTGTGACTTCTAAGACATGTTAATTTAACAACATAGTAGCCATATTCCTGGTGGAGAATCAGTGTGTGATGTATCTAAATTCTTTTTATAACTTAATGTGGGAAAAGACACTGCTTTCGAATGCCTTGACGTGCCAAGTCTGGGATTGTTATGCTTGCTTTAAAGTCATCTGCCACCGGCTACCACCAGTGAGGGAATGCTAAATGGAACTGCAGCCTGAGCTAGTATGGCATTTCCTGTGTTCTTACAGAGATCTTAATGGTGATTCTATTTCATGCATTCCTTTAACTGATTGCATACCACCTGATCTTGTTATACATAGCACCTTTTAAAAACATAGGTACTCTGCTGACAGGCAACTGAATAATTTGAGCTTTGTAAGAACTTCTGAATTGCTCACCTATGAAGATGTGGTATCATATTGGTGGCTGCCTGTTTGGTAAACTAACATGAGTCGTGTCCTACATCAATAATCTCAAAAAATGGCATTAAACTAAGATTTACCAACTTCATGGAATTCTAAACTCTGAGTTTACTGATTCACTTTAACTGATGGGTTGGTTTAAATTCTTTGCATTCTTTTAGCTTTTCATTTATAACTTGTGCCTGGCACACACTTATTTCCTATATCAATTGTGGTTTTAATTAACTTACACTGTCAACTGTTCAGGGAACCAATGTGTAAGATTTTTTTGAAAGGACCATGTAAAGAGCAAAAGAATGGATAAGAGCTAGCAGTTGCTGAAAGAGAAACAAGAGAAATATGAGGCACAGAAAAATAATCTTCCCAGGGAGGAAAATTAGAGAAGGAAGAGTGGGTTGAAAATAGCCAGATTTTAAAATTATTTTTGTCTCTGAAGAAGAAATACAAAGTAAAGAACAGGGAAAAGAGAAATTTTCTTAAAATATCTGTATGTATATACTTGAGAATTTATGGAGAGTTTAATGGAGGGGAAGATCAAAGTAAACCATCATTATCTACTGTACCTATTTTTAATAGAAAAAACAGAGAACAAAGAGACTAGAATGTTAATAGACCATTTATTCTAATTATCTAATTAACAGTTATTCTAATATTTCCTGGAAATATGTGGATAAACTATTAAATAATGAATTTAAAAGCACAATATTTATTTAAAACATTTGATTTGATGCAAATGGCTTTGAGAAATTATCTAAATGCCTTTTAAAATCTCCTAATTGCCCTACTGGATTTGATAAAAATCATTATATAAGATTATTCTGATAAAAGGAATGCATTTTATACCACACCAGGTGATATTTTCATTAATAAGCTCGGTAATGTCATCTAGATTTTGCAAGTTGGGAGGAAAAGTTGCTAGAAACCCAGGTTCAGGAAGTAATAAATGGTGCTGTCAAACTGAAAGAACATTTTGGCTTACTCCAGTAGGGCAGCTCCTGGCTGAGTTCTGTCTAGTATTTAATGATTTGGATATGTTTATAAAACTGAGCTGAGAGATTGCAGGGACACTCATGGATAGTTAAGAATTAATAAAGAGAAGAGGTGGTCCAGAGTTGGGAAGAAGAAGAATAATTTACTGAAAATATATATAAGTACTGTTCTTTGGTGGGGGAAGATGGTATTTCTAGTAGGGATCACTGCAATACTGCAGAAAAAAAACCATCTGAGGAATTATAGCAAGTCAGGAACAAGAGATGAGTCAATACTGTCACTTGCAACAATGTCACATGCTTGCTGATTTTCAGGGTTACATGGAATATATTGTGTGCAGCAAAATCACTGTCTAGAGTGCAAGCTCTTTATTCATTTGTGCATACTCATTATTCATTTACTACCAGCTCATGACAAAGAAAGGCATAGCCATTGCTAGAAACTTGAGGTGTCACCACAGTTATCAGAAATGCCTTTGGAGTTGGGTGTCCTTTTGTGTGTTCAGAGGCCAACACGTCAGGCTCAGGATTTGTAGTGCAATGCATAACACAGCAAACATGCTGTGGAGGGCTGCTTTACTTCTGGTGGAATTCCTGGCTGTCTTCTCATATTGAGCATTGCTGACATAGCAACCACTGTCTCACTACAATGTTTAGCTGGGACTTTTTACTGTGTTGTAAATTTCTATTTTATCTGCTCCCAGCTGCAGTAATAATAATGAAATATTTTTGGAAGATGGTTCCATTATGTTAGCATTTTAATTCCTTAAATTATTAATATGTATCTATGCATGTGTATAGCAAATTCTTTGATTTCATATGTGCAGGTGTGGCAACTATTCTGTATGAATGCCGGTTGGGCTGCCTGGAAAACAACGTCCCTCAGCAGACTGTTGAATATATTGAGGCTCTGGAGTTGATGTTTAGTATGTTTAAGACCACTATGTATGCAGGTGCTATTCCCAGATGGCTTCGTCCACTTATTCCAAAACCCTGGAGGGAGTTCTGCAGATCCTGGGATGGACTCTTCAAATTTAGTAAGATTTAGTAGTAGAAAAGTTCGGCTGTATTTCTGCAGGTTCTGTGTGTTTGGACAGGACTTGCTGCATTTCTTTTCTAAAATTCTAAGAAGACATTGCGGCAGAAGTAAGTTTCACATTAAACACAGACTGGCCAGAGGAACCATTTAAAAAGCATACTCTATTGAAAAGAAAATTTACTAGTACACTTTAAGCATTCCTTATTTTACACTGCTGTTTCTTTGCTTGTCTTCCTCTGTTTCAGCACCCAGTCCTTACTCCAGGTTTGCGTTCTTTGCCAAGACTATCTTAAGCCACTCAGATTTTAATGAGGGTAGTTTTCTTGACTTCAGCAAGTTAAAAAAATAGAAAGTTGAAAAATTAGACTTTAGCAATTAATTATACTCTTTGTGAAGATTATGTATCTAACATACAAGCATGTAAGTTGACATAGAAGTATACTGATGTACTACAGTAAGCTTTTTTTTTGTAAATAAAGCATTCCAGGCTACTTTATGAATCAGCTTTCATGTAAGTAAGAAGGACTTGTCTTTGCAATATTTATTTTTCTTTTTTAATATTTTGGACATTCTTTCCCTCTTTAATGTTAGAAATCTGCATGAATTTTAAATTTTATTTTATTGGCACTATTTGTCTAGGTAGGTCTGTGTACGTCTTCTTGAGGGCAGATTCTTTAGTTTCTTAACCTTTAATACACCTCGTATGCTTATTTCTTAATATGTATTGATCTGTACCTAGGGAACCCATGTGTTAGGGAACCCATGTAATGCTGATGTAAATGTGTTTTCTGTGAACTCTGTACATTTTTATACTGCCACTTTTACATTATTTCCCATGATAATGTACTCTTGTTCCCTTTTATGGGTTAAAAACAACAGCAGACTTCAGCTTTGTCCTAACAGCAGCTGAAAAACTGTTCCTGAGGAATTTGCTCCATTTGAAACTTGTGATACTGTTTCTTTGTTGAATCCCTTTATGAAAAAGGCATCAAATGGTGAAAATCACTCTATGTGATGTGTGTATTTGTGTAGGCTTCATAAAGGAACTTGTTAATTCTAGTTCATTTTTTGTAAGTTCATTCTGTGAGGTATTAAGTTTCTGAGGGTTTTTCCTCTTTTTAAAGCCCTTGTTTCACTGAAGGTGCTGTTTGTAATCACTGAAGTATAAATGGGACTGTGTGTGAACTTGTTCAAAATGTCATTCACTGACGTATTTCAATTTTTGTTATTACTTGATGCTCCTCATCTTTGTCTTCAGTGTAATTCAGTTCTGTAGCTTCGACCTTCTGGTTGCGGCTAACATCTTGTAGCAGCTTCTGTGTGCTGAGTTACAGCATGCTCTGCAGAGTTCACCACTTCTAGCAGAGTCATCAGAAAACAAGCCAGGTGGGCAGAAAGACTTGACCTTGAGCTTCCTTCATTCCCTGTCAGAGGCTATAGTCTCTTGTGTCCTTTCTTGGCACTCAGCATTCTCATGCTGTGAGCTACCTAGGTTCCTGTTGGCTCAGTCTTTCCTTACCATAAGTACCCATGGACCTCCACCACTACTCTACTATCTTTTTCCTGAGAAAATAGATTAATTTATTTTATTTTAATATGTAGTGTAGCATAAGGGAGAAATGTCATTACTGCCTGGAATCAGCAGAAAAATAAAAATGGAAGCTTAATTATTTATTTTTTTTAATCTCAAAGGCCAGATCCATGTCGACAGCAAATTGAAGGCTATTCAGTCTCAGCTGGATCGAGGAGAAGAAGTGAATGGTGGGCTACTTACATACCTCCTAGTGAGTAAGGAACTTACTTTGGAAGAGGTCTATGCCAATATGACTGAAATGCTTCTGGCAGGAGTGGACACAGTAAGCTTGTTATAATTTTTCTTGTGCACAGTTGTTTTTAAATCAGTTTTTAAATCATTTGCAGCTATCTTCAGGGGGTTATGTTGTTTATAAGGACATAAATTCTGACACATTTAAGTCATGACATCTTTAAAGCAGTAGAAAATACATCACTTTGTAATCTCTCTGCTGGAATGAAGTCAGTGTTCTGTTCTAGCTAGGAGCCCATCACTTTGAGTAGATTCTGCAGTTTATTAAACAGATAAAATAGTGGTTGTCTTTACATTCGGCTTGAATTTCATACATTTTCTTGTACTAGTTAGAATATTGGGTTGGTATTTGTGCTTCTTTAGGTAGACCACAATAAAAAAGGCTGCTGAAAGTTAGTGTGAAAAAAATTGATCAGTAAACTCAAGGGTAGAATTTGGTAAAGGATTTTCTTGCGTGGCTAATTAAATCAACTGAGGCACACATTATGGATTGGATCCTGGCTTCTGCTGAAGTTTATTAGGAGATGGGTGTTATGCCAGCACTAATGTGGGTAAGGCGTAAGTTTACTCTACCCATGCTTGTGCTGGCAGCACACAGTCAGACTGAGGCTAAGAGCTGTGGTAATGGAGTTCAGTATTAATGAGGCTAGCATATGCAGTGTGTTAACACCTAGTGAAGCTTTCTATGTGACCATCTTTCCTCATTCTTCTGATTTGTCATCTAGAGTCTTTGAAGAAACATTAAAGTCATATATATATCTTCCCTTCCTCTCATTCCTGTCATCAGCGTAGTTTAGTGTTGACTGCAGCATGACAATCAGAAGAATGAGAGGAGATAAAAACGAGTTATTGTGTTATATACACGTCTACGGAGTTATTCAGAGTATCAGTGAACACTGTTACTGTAAATGATTGTAACTGAACAAATTTTAAAAATACATGAATTTGATAAAGAAAGTGCTATGTAGGACTGTTTAATAGTCTTACAGTAGAAAAGATTAAAATTACTTGTAAAGTAGTCTTAAAGTAAAAAACCTCTCTGGATAATTGAAATCAGATTTTTTTGATTTAAGAAAGTTTGTGAGGTTTCTAAAGAAAACAAAAAAATCCACCCCAAAGTAGTACTTCTGAACTCCAAAATAAGAAGCATATGTAAAACTTATTTATGTGCTGGAGATTGTTTCATTGGTTAAACATCCCAAAGGGCTTTTGAGTTTGGAAAGCTTTTTGATGTTTGGTTCTCAAGTAAAGCAGTTATTCATCCCATTCATTTTCTAATATTTCAGACCATTAATTTTCCATTCTTAGTGTGTGACAGAGTTTCCATTAAACTAAGAGGACAAAGTTCAAGCTCATGCCAACAACTTTCCCTTTCCATCTGACTCAGCTTTCTCTGTCAGCAGCAATTTTTTTTGTGAGAGAATGGTACTTCTGATTTCCTCATTTTCAAGTACAAAACTGAAATTGAGGGAATCTTTTCCTCTACTGCTGTCACTTCAGTTCTCATTTTATCATAGAAACAGAAAGAGGTTTAGAGGATTATAAAAGCTTTCAACAAAATTGTAAGGCAGTTTTTGGCTACAAAGCCTTTCGGCTGTCCCTGGAACAGTGCTAATTTTTAAGAGGTTATGAAGGAGCTGGGAACCTGGGAAGAAACAGTGTTTATATCAGAGTTCTGTATACAGCTGGCAGAATTGCCAGCTCCCCTGAGCTCTGAGAGGACTAGAAGAGGGTTGCATGTTAGCTAGGGTCACTCAATATTGCAAGAAGAAAAAAAGAAAGGTTCTGAGAATGATGCTTCTAACATTTGTTTGAAGACAAGACATGATGAATTTGGATTCTAAATTTTTCTTAGATATAAGCCCAAACTAGAACATTTCAAGAAGCTGGGGTTTTTACCTATACATTGTTTATAACCTTAAGCTTTGTTGTGCTAATGAGTGAGAAGTTGAAAATAAAGCAGTTTCACTTTCTGCATAGGAAACTTTCTGTGTCTCTTCATTATACAAGTTGAAAAAAATACATTTAAAAATAATTCAAGAAAATGATGGTAAAAGTTATAATTTTTCTGTCTTAAATGCTGCAAAAGCATGGAGCAGATCCCTCTGGAAACCGTGCTAAGGCACATGGAAAATGAGGAGGTGACAGCCAACATGGCTTCACTAAAAGCAAATTGTGTCTGACAAATTTGGTGGCCTTTTATGATGGGGTTACAGGATTGGTGGATAAGGGAAGAGCAATTGACATAATCTGCCTGGACTTGCGCAGAGCATTTGACACTGCCCTCCACAACTCCTTGTCTTTAAAGTGGAGAGACATCAATTTGATGGTTGGACCACTCGGTGGGTAAGGGATTGGCTGGATAGTTGCACTCAAAGAGTTATGGTTGGCAGCTCAATGTCCAAATGGACACCAGTGTTGAGTGGTGTTCCTCAGGGGTTGGTATTGGGACCAGCACTGTTCAACATCTTTGTCAGCAACATCAACAGTAGGGTTGAGTGCTCCCTCAGCAAGTTTGCTGATGACACTAAGCTGTGTGGTGCGATCAACACAATGAAGGGAAGGGATGCCATCAAGATCCAAAGGGATCTTGACAGGCTTGAGAGGTGGGCCAGCGCAAATCTCCTGAAGTTCAACAAGGCCAAGTGCAAGGTCCTGCAACCTGGGCTGGGGCAATCCCAAGCACATATACAGACTGGCAGAGACTGGATTGAGAGCAGCCCTGAGATGCTCGTTGATTAGAAGCTCAACATAACTTGGCAAAGGGCGCTTGCAGCCCAGAAAGCCAGCTGTATCCTGGGGTTCATCAAAGGAGCATGACCAGCAGGTCAAGGGAGGTGTTTCTGCACCTGTACTCCATTCTCATGAGATCCTCCTTACTGGAGAACTGCATTCACTTCTGACCCCCAACATAGGAAGGATATGGATCTGCTGGAGCAAGTCCAGAGGAAGGCCACGAAGACGAGAGCTGAAGCACCTCTCCTATGAAGATAGGCTGAGAGAATTGGGCTTTTTCAGCCTGGAGAAGAGAAGGCTCTAGGGATACCTTAGAGTAGCCTTCCAGTACTTAAAGGGGACCTACAGAAAAGCTGGAGAGGGGCTTTTTCCAAGTCATGTAGTGATAGGACAAGGGAACTGGCTTTAAACTGAA